CGAGTTACCTCTTTCACATGTCGTCTGTATATTTTGGTTTTCTTCCTTTCTTCTTCTTTGTTATATCGCTTCCATCTTTCAATTTTTTAATATAAAATTTCACTCTTTCTGTTGGTATTTTGGTTTTATTTACATACCAATCAACGGATTGAGACAATCCATTTTCTTCATACAACTCTCTAAGATATGAAATTTGTTCATCCGTGAGAGTATTGTAACATCTTTTTCGGTGTTTTTTAGTGTCTTCTTCCATTCGAGAAGATAATTGAGGATGATAATTGATTTGTTGTTCTAAAAGTGTACTTTCAGTAACCGGAGAAACGTTTGGGGGAGTGTTTGGAGGTTTACATAAAGGTCCTATAAAAGGTTGTTTGAACAATGCAATTTCAGACTTAGGCACATATTCGATAGAGTCACTCATATTGATTATAAAGTTTAAACATGTGTTTATGTATTCATTTATTTTGTTAAATATATTTAGAAGTTATAACATTTGCCAATTATTCAAGTTATATTTTTCATGTTTTTGTTAATTTTATTTGAAACAAAAAAGCTCAATTTTGAAACAATTTTAATTTAAATTTGTACAAAAAGAATTTTATTTGAAACAATAATAATTAATTATGAGACATTTGAAAAAAGGTACATTTTTGTTTTTTTGTGAAACACTTTAAATTTATTTTGATAATATTTTTATTTTATTTGGTACAATCATATTTATTTGTTGAACATTTTTAAATTAATTTGAAACTAACTGTAAATAAAAATAAATAATTTGGTCAAAAAACAAATAAAATGTTGTCTGGATTGTTTATCAAAATAAAAACGAAAAACATATTTTTTTTCTGAAACACAAAGTTAATTAATAATACTCAAAAAATTAATTGTTTTTAACACTAGATAAAAAATTGGTTTTTAATAAAAAAATCATTTTAGTCTTAATTCAACAAACTATTTATTATGGTAATGTAACTATTGTTATTAATTCATTTTCTCTTTAAAAAATAATAATAACACGACTGTTTTATCAATAAAAATATTTATTTATTTACAACAAAA